CCTACGGCCTACGACCTACAACCTGTCCTCAGCTCCCAGACTGCTTTCAACCCTCCTCCCCTTAGCTTCCAAAAGAGTGGATGCCTGGCTCTCCTTGGTCCCTGTGCCCAGAAAGTTTGGGTTTCCTCTGGCACTTCTCCAGATAAACCCTCCCAGCCTCCTCAGTCCTCACCAGACCCCACCACACCCCGCCTGTCCTCACCTGGAGGCCACACGCAGTCTTCACTTCAGGATGTACCATGACGCCCTGAGGTTCACAGGCGCCAGAGAGGAATCGTCTTCAGCCTGTAGGGGACAAAAGCAGCCACCAGCCTCTCAGCACAAGGGAGGCTCCCGGTCCTCTCCCTCTCGCAGGCATCCAAATTCTGAAGCCTCCACCTCCTGAAAACGTCTCTCCTTTCGGCCTCCCTCTCTCCAGCTGGATGACAGGCACCAACCACCCCAAATCCAGTCCTCACACCCCTCCACTGACCCCCCTCCCCATCGCCTGCTAAGGAAGGGCCACGCTCCTTAAGCTGAGGAGCCGGCTGCTTTACAAGTTTTGAGAGAAAAGAACGGATTTCTCTGGTTAGGCCACTCAGGGAATAAATGGCCCAAGGCCCTGGGAGATCCCACGACGGGTGTGGGGGCTGTTTCTTCTGGAGTCTAGATGGAGCAGAGCTGGCAGGGCCGGTCGTCCCTCTGCAGGCTGGCTCGCCAAAGACGCCCCTTCCTTGCCTTACTCCCGAGGCTCCGGAGAGATCCCTGGAGAGTTCTGGAAATCCTGCTACCTTTAGGACCTGAGGGATCCGAGCTGGGGGTCACCTTCCCCGCCCCCAGTGAAGTCGGCGCCGGGAACTGCCCTAATGGAAACCAGCCGCCGGGCGCTCCGGGAGGGCTCGGGCAGACCTTGGGGTCCACCAGAGGCGCGCGCCAGGCCGGGGGAGCCCGCGGTGGCTGGAGGGTGAACCTGACATTCCCGCGCGGCTCCACCAACCCCTCCGTGGCTCGCACCCCACCCCCACCCCGGCTGGAACAAAGTAGAACCCGGGGCGTGCGGGTGATTCCCAGGGAGGGCGGACTCGGGGCTTTCCCTGTCGCACCCTCCATAGGGGGACGGCCCCCAAGTCCCCGAGAGCCCCTCGGGCAGGGTCCTTAGGGATCGGAGCATGGGAGGACCTAGCTTGCCCGGTGGAGGCGAACAGCCGAGGGGTCGGTGGAGCTGCGCCCCAAGAGTCCCCGGCGCGCGAGTCTCCCCACCCGGACCCTTTGTCCGCCTCCTCCTCCCCTCCCTCATCCCGGCCTTGGGCTCGGGGGATCCGGGCGGCGGCAGAGGTGGCAGGCAGAGCCCAGAGGCGCAGCTCGGGCAGCCAGGAGAGTTGCACGTGGAGCCGCCCCCGGGACCCGCGTAGCGACGGCGGGGGGAGGCTGCGGGCTCGCGGGGTGGGGGCTGGGGCGCAGCTCAAGAAGTGGGAGGGGATCGGGTGAGGGGTGGTCTCTGAGGAGGAGCCAGGCTGGACCGTATTGTTCCGCGCTCTGCCGTGTAGGGCGCGGGGCGCAAGGCTTCCCTTGTCCCTCTCCCCACCCCCGCTCTCCGAGCGCCAGAGGAGGCTGGGGGTGGCTCGTGCGCCCCGAGACGCCGCTGCCCGGCTTGCCCGGTGGGTGTGCGTCCTCCGAGCGGTACCGGGAAGGGGGTGCTCTGCGGCCGCGCGCCCAGGACGGCTCCACCCAGGGCGGGGGTCCCGAGTGGGCCGCCCGCCGCAACGCAGTCCCCTGCCGGGTTCGCGGTCCCAGGGGTTGGGGCCGGCGAGGAGCTAGAGTCCTTCACCCTCCCTCGCCGCGAGCCTCCGCAGGAGTCGGGCGTCCCTGCTCCCCGCGATGGCCGCGGGCCGCCGCCATACGGAGCCGCGGCGCGGACCCCAGGGCACCCCTCTCTAGCGAGGCGCAGCTACTTTTCGCCCCCAGCCTGGCCAGCGGGATGGGGGGCGGCGGGTCGGCCCTGAGGGTCTGCGCCGACCACCGCGGGGGCATCAACTGGCTGAGCCTGAGCCCCGACGGGCAGCGCCTGCTGACCGGCAGCGAGGACGGCACGGCCCGGCTCTGGAGCACCGCGGACGGCCAGTGCTGCGCGCTACTGCAAGGTACACCCTCCCACCCCCTCCCTGCCCTTTTCGCCGTCGCTCACCGGCCCCAGGCCGCCAACCCCAGCTCCTGAGCCCGCAGACCCCTTTCCAGAAGTTCAAGCCCCGCCGATCCCGGCACACTCACGGGAGAGCGCTTGTCTGGGCACAACAGGGCAGGGTGAGGTCGGGGTGGGGTGCGGGAGCGGGTGCAGAGCAGGGTGCGGCCGGGGTCGGGTGGGTGGGCCGAGGGGCGCCAGCTGCAAAGGCAAAGGTCATCTGTCAGCCGGCGCAGGAAATCTCGCTTGTCAACAAAGTTCACAAACCAAAAGTTGCCTCTCTGCCCCTTCTGAGCAAACTGTCCTTGTTTCCAGGTGCCAGGCAGCCTCTTTGCGGCCAGTTGTGATCTGTCGGCATTTCCTGTTGACGACTATCACAGTAATAGGGGCTTGTTAAGGGCCAGCAGTGCTAGAAGTGTGCGTCACTCTACGTTATCTACCCCACAGACAGATGGAAACTGAGGCTGGGGGTTAAGAAACTCGCTCAGGTCGCACAGCCAGTGAGGGATAGATTGCAGTCTGAGCCCTCTCACTGCTGTAAACCCCGCCTGCAGGTCTGCTGGTTTCTGTTCGTGTCCTGTACCCACTCAGCAGGTCAGTGTGCCACACGGCTGCACCTTCCCCTGGGCTTGTCCCATGCACGGTGAGGTCGCTTTCAGCTCTGGCCCTCTTACTGCCTGGGTAGCACACAAAGTCCCCTGGATGAGCCTCGAGGCTTTCTGTACTGGGAACAGTTCTTTATGACCACCAGCTTTTCCACCATTGTCAGTGAACCCTCAGTGGCCTCGCCCAGGCCTTCCCACTTAGGTAGGATATTGGCTCCAATATTGGCTAATCCTGATACTGCTGGTTTTAAATAAGAACAGTTGACCAGGTGCAGTGGCTCACACCTGTAATCCCAGCACTTTGGGAGGCTGAGGCAGGTGGATCACCTGAGGTCAGGAGTTCGAGACCAGCCTGGCCAACATGATGGAACCCTGTGTCTAATAAAAATACAAAAAATTAGCCAGGCATGGTTCCAGGCGCCTGTAATCCCAGCTACTCGGGAGGCTGAGGCAGGAGAATCACTTGAACCCAGGAGGGGAAGGTTGCAGTGAGGCAAGACAGTGCCACTGCACTCCAGCCTGGGCAACAGAGCAAGACTTCGTCTGGAAAAAAAAAAAAAAAAAAAAGAAAAAGAAAGAACAGTTAGGGTAGATATTTCAAACCCAACAGGGATGACTTTTAGGTTACCGGTTACTTGGGAGTTGGTGTGGATAATGGAGAGGTGCCAAACTAACACACATCCCCCTCAAACAGCCACACACACTAATAGGCACTCAACCGGGAGTGGAAATGTGAAGTCTTTAGAAGTGCTGAGTCCGTTTGGTACTGCTCCCAAGCATAAGACGGTATTGGGGGCAGAGGGGTGCGTGGTGTTTCAGAAATGCAGATCCCAGGCCTGGGCTCCAGCAATGCAGTTCTCTGCAAATAGAGCTCTCGAATTGGCATTTCTGTGGCTTTGTTTTTTGAGATGGAGTTTTGCTCTTGTTGCCCAGGCTAGAGTGCAGTGGCACAATCTCGGCTCACTGCAACCTCTGCCTCCCGGGTTCAAGTGATTCTCCTGTCTCAGCCTCCCGAGTAGCTGGGACTACAGGTATGTGCCACCACTCCCGGCAATTTTTTTTTTTTTTTGTATTTTTATTAGACATGGGGTTTTATCATGTTGGCCAGGCTAGTCTCAAACTCCTTACCTCAGGTGATCCACTCGCCTCGGGCCTCCTAAAGTGTTGCGGTGACAGGTGTGAGACACTGCACCCAGCCTAGAATTGGTGTTTCTAACAAGCTTTTGGGTGGGTCTGCCGCATAGCTGGCCCTGGGCTCCCCTGGGCTCCCCTGGGCTGGGGACCTGTTGTATGAGCTCAGTGCGTTAGGTGGGTTTTCTTCCCAGTGAGGCCCAGGCTTTGCCAGGCTGTCTGTGGCCTAGTGGACACCTGACATTGCGCCCATGGCAGCTCTGGAGCCTCACCAGGCCTCCAGGGCCCACCCTCCTGCCTAGTTCTCTGGCACCTGCACCTCCTTCCTTCACACCCACTTTGTGTGCTGCTTGTCCCCTTGAGGCACTGACACTTCCCAGGGAGGGTGCCCGACCTCCTGCCCTTATTGAGGCCAAGGCCATCCCTGCTTAAGCAGGATTCTGTGGAATGAAAGAACTGCAGCCCGCTTTTGCTAGGATTGTTTTTGCTGGGGTTTGGCATTTTTCAAGAATTTTCAAGGACAGGAGGACAGAGGTCATCTTTCTTTATCCTGAGATTCTACTGATACACTTAACTTGCAGAAGAGTCATCCTGAGTGTGGGACAGTCCTTTTGTGTGGCTCCTCCAAGGAAAGCAAGGTCATGACAGTTTCTTCCTCCTGTAGGATTTTTTTTTTACATCAGTGAAATATTATTAAAATGTCTTAACATTTGTTTAGTGCCCTGTATTTTATAAATACCCACCGACATACTTCTTTATTGTGTAATGAATCCGCACGACTCTGAGACGGGTGGATTGACACCAGTTCACAGAGGAGAGTCAGGAGGGCAGATACGTTAGCAGCATGCAGAGCATCCATGCTCTTCTCCGGATTCCATCAACTGTGGGGTGGGTGCTGTTGCCAGCATCCCCCGCGGTGCCGTGCGGGTGCAGGACCTGTCCAGGGTGCCACAGCTGGTCCGTGGCAGAGAGAGCTTCTGAAGACTGCACATGGCGCTCCTCCTACCCCAGACGCCGCTGTAGGGGAAGTTGTGTCCAGACCACACGGCTGGCCCACAGTGGCCCCCTCCCTGAAGCATCCTGACTCTAAATCTAGATCTCTTTCCACTCCGGTTCTATCCTGACCCTTGCGCAGCTCCGGGCCCACAGGAGCCTGTGACTGGCCACTCCTGGACTTCTCAGGCAGAGTGGCTGGGGTTGGTGGCTCCTACAGAGATTCTTCCTCTGCAGACGTCTGGCTCTGTTCCTGGCAGCAGGGGCGATCTGGGACCAGAGGCTTTCCTGGGTGTCTCGAAGAGCTTAGGAAAGCTTGGGCTGAGGAGTAAGACGGAGAGGAAGAGAGAGGGCAGTTCCCTGAGGTGTGCGGGGTTGGTGGGCCAGGTGCAGCTCCTGGAGGCCCCGGGGAGAGTGGGGTGCAGAACTGTGTGTGGGGGCCGGTCCCTGTGGGTGCGCTCACTTGGTATACAGGGAGTCAGCTTTCCAATGCAGTTGGTGACCTCGCAGTGAGAAAGGCTTCCTTGCAATTACTCTGCAAAGAGAAAAATTACTTGCCACGTGCTTATCCCCGACCCCCTCTTTTTCAGGTTTATCCATTGGGTGTATCCTTATTTGGGGGCCCTTTATTGGCTCAATGAGATGAGTGACATTTTCCAAAACGGTGATGTCTACCCTATCCTGTTCCCGCTGAGTAAGGGACTCAGCCTGAAGGTGGCTGCCCGCTGTGGCTGTCCCACATGCTTCCTCGTCTTCTGACATGAGGGGGTGGGGATTGTTTTAAGTTCCTGGGTTCAACTGCACATTCCCATTTGCTGGGAGCCTGTGGTACGGGAGGGTCCTAGGGAAGGCTGGTGGGAGAGCAGTGACCAAGAAGATGGGCTGAAGGAGGCGTGCTGCACCCCCACAGCTTGGGGCCACGTGACTGCTCCCACAGGAGAAGTCCAGAAAGCCAAGCTGCATAGGTCTTGGCTCAAAGTGGGGGGTTGCGGATATGCTACAGGTCTCCCTTGGCCACACCAGTGTCATTTCAGCCACACTGTTGGTGCTTCTGGGCCTAGATGTCACCTGCCTCAGGGTCCTGGCACCCTTGAAACTGGGTTCTACCAGGAGAGTTTCATGAAGGGACACTCTGCAAAACGCAGGTGCAGCATAAGGGAACCACAGTAGCCGTGGCTCGCACCAGCAAGGCTGTCACCTATTCTGGGCCTGAGTGGGGGGCACAGTCACTGCATCCTAGAAACAGCTGAGAGGGCTTCCTTCCAGGTTGGATGGCCACAGCCAGCCAGTGTGGAAAAGAGAGGGACGGGGGGGCAGAGAAAGGCTCAGCCCTGGACAGCAGGCTCAGTGGGGCTTCCCCCACTGGGGGAAGGGCTGGAGGAAGCCAGTCAGGCATGACATCTGTGCCCCGTGTGGCCTCCAGGGTGGCTGTCCAGTCCATTGTCTAGAGCTGGGACACAGAAGGGAGGCACAGCTTCCATGTGAGTCTGGGGCACTAGGCCCGCTGCAGCCCACAGAGACCCGCCACCAGCAAGACCTGCCACCCACAGGTCCGAAGCTCTGAGCTGCTTTCCCTGCATGGGGTGCGGGGGGAGGGAGCAGTTGGACTTGAAACTTCCAGCGCGTCCTTGGGGCGTGCAGGCGCTATCTTGGCAGAAACCCGTCAGCCTCAGCATGTTCTTTGAACATAATAACTGCATCTTATCTGCATTCTTCATCCCTTCAGAAATATTTATTTTTAGTTTGGCTTTTTTGCTTATTCTGCACAAAAGAATAAGCACCCTGCAGCTCCTGGAGGTGTGATGAGCCCTCCCTCCCCCACACCCTACCTCTTCTGGGATCCTGGGGTTGGGGTGGGGGCCTTGGCTCTGGGGGTGGCAGGCCTGATTCCTCTTTCCCCCCGCTGGGGTGGCCCCACAGGCCTGGGTCAGTGGTGGCCTGTCTAGTGTTCTGGGAACATGGGGATGGGGCTGGGGACATGCTCTGTTGGCAGGGCTCTAACTGGTGACTCACTCGGGTATGTGTTCAGATGTGGGTGAGTGCTTGGAAACCCAGGGGAAGGGGCCTGCCCACAGCAGAGCCTTGACCGCTGTGGGCCTCTGCGGGCGCAGTGCCAGGCTCTGCCACAGGCCAGAGGGCAGAGGGCGTCAGGTCAGCCTATCTGGTAGAGAAATGGAGGTGACTTTTTACCTTCCTTTCGTCATTGCCTGTTTTCCTCAATCTTTGTATGCATTTGCATCTGTACCCATTGGCCGTCATCTGTGTGCCCATCCTGTTCCTTACACACATCATCAAGTGGTCCCACGCTTCAGGTCTTCAGTGTCCCTGGCTTCATGGCTTTAGTTCCACCAGGTAGAGGTGCCACAGCTCACCAGCCACCATTGGCTTTTAAGTGCTTTTCTTGGCTTAACATGCGACTCCCTTCTGTGCTTTACCCTCCTGTGGTTGAGATGGGGCGTGAGCAGCTGGGCTTGGCACCGGCCCCACACGATCCTTAGGCAGGTGCCGGGCACCTGAATGCCCGTAGCACACCTTGACTGCCTTTCCATCCGGCTGTCCCCAGCCTGGATCTCTCTGCTGAGCCCTCCTGGTGGCAGCAGGGAGGGTGGGACGGATCTGTTCTCAGGGAAAGTTTATTGACAATCTTCAGATATTTTATAAACTCTCTGGGGTTGGCAAAAATCTGGCCTGTGTTTTGACAAACATGTTGCCCTCAATGTGTAAGCCAACATGTGTTTTAAGGGAAACAGAATCTGCAGTTTCTTCAAATGTTTACTTCATCTGTACATTGTCTTCTCAGTGGCCTGGTATATACCCTCCAGGAAGACTGGAAACCTTTTTTTTTTTTAAATTATGTTTCTTAGAACTCAGGAAGTTGAGTTCTTCCAAGAGTAACTGAACTTAAACTTGGGGTCGGGGGAAGGGGTGGATGTGAATTGACTTGAAACTGCCCAAGAAATTCTAAATCCCTGTCTACCTAATACCAGCTGTCTAAACCAAGTTTTAAAATTCTATCAGAATTCTTAATGTAATAAATACGTTCCCCTAAATGCATGGCTGTTTGAATTCCTCTGTTTTCTCATCTGTAAAATGGCTCTTACTTCTAACAATCTTTTGATTCGCCTTCCTGGCCTCCGAGTTCCTCACATCCATTGAGCCTTCCCATCCAGCACGTTCTGCACCTGTGGGTTCAGCCCACCCCAGATCAAAAAAACCCAGGGAAAAAACATCCCACAAGGTTCCAAAAAGCAAAATTTGGCTTTGCTGCTCACTGAGTACTCCAGTGAATCCACGCAAGTGAGGTGATATGTAGGCGTCGCGGCGGGCATTCTGAGTCACCCAGAGATGAACTAAAGCGTGCGGGAGAATTGCATGGGTTACGGGCAAATACTACCCCAGAGAGACGTGAGCGCTGTGGAGTTTGTATCTGCAGGGGATCCTGGAACTAATCCCCCATGCGATTGGGAGGGACAGCTGTATATACTGGGGGATGATGCATACACACCATCTTTACCCGAAGGGCAGGCCCTGCTACGATCGGAGACCCTGAGGGCCCCCAGGGTTGCTAAGCAATGCCCAAGGCACAAACATTAACCTGGCAGCCAGAGTGCGGGTCAAGCTAGTCAAGCTGTCTAACTGCACCCGTGAGACAGAGTCCCAGCTAGCCCCGGGGGTGGCTCAGCTGCTGAGAGCCCACACACCCTGCATGGCCCTCCACTCTGGCCACATCCTGGCCTCATCAGCCATCTCTGCCAAGCACCCAGACTCTGGCCTGGAGGCGCCCCACAGAGTCAGTCCCTGCACACCTGCTCTCCCAGCTGCTGTTGTACTTACGGGCACCGGGTCACTCTCTTCCCGGTCCCCGGTGCTCAGTCTTCTCTCCGGAGCCTCGGCCAGCCGCTGCCTGTGTGAGTGCCGAGCTCTGCTGACCACATGCTTTCCTTGGCTGTCTTCCCTTCTGGGCCTGGAGCTCCCTTGGAGGGCAGGGCTGTGCTTCATCATCACTGTGTTTGTGTTCGTGTCCTGGGAGTGCTGTGACAAAGGAGCATGCTTGGTGCCTGGAAACAGGTGAAGTTTACTCTTCACAGTGCTGGAGCCCAGAGGTCTGAAATAGTGTCCCTGGGCTGAAAGCAGGGTGTCAGCAGGGTCACACTCCCTCTGAAACCTGCAGGGAATGGTCAGTTCCTGGCCTCTTCCAGCCCCAGTGGCTGCTGGCATTCCTTGGCTTGTGGCCACATCCATCTCTGCCTCCACTTTCACGACTTCCTCTTCCGAGTGTGTCACATCTCCCCGGACTGTCTCTTGTAAGGACACTTATGGCTGTATTTAGGGCCCACCTGAATAATCCAGGATAATCTCCCCAATCAGGGTCCTTAACCTCATCACAGCTGTAAAGACCCTTCTCCAAGTAAGGTCACATTGACGGGTTCCAGGGATTAGGACCTACTGTCTTGGGGCCGTCTTTCCCGAGCTTCCTGAGAATCACTCAGATTAAAGTCATTCTTTAGGGGCCAGGCACGGTGGCTCACGCCTGTAGTCCCAGCACTTTGGGAGGCCCAGGCTTGCAGATCACTTAAGGTCAGGAATTTGAGACCAGCCTGGCCAACATGGCAAAACCCATCTCTACTAAAAATATAAAGAATTAGCTGGGCATGGTGGCGGGCACCAGTAATCCCAGCTACTCAGGAGGCTGAGGCAGGAGATTTCCTTGAACCTGGGAGGCGGAGGTTGCAGTGAACCCGGATCGTGCCATTGCACTCCAGCCTTGTGACAGAGCGAGACTTCATCTCCAAAAAAAAAAAGCTAATTGACTCCGGGCTTGTCTCAAGCACTCCCTACACCCTGCTTTCTTCCCTTTTCAAACATTGTTCCCAGAAGAAAAGCAGGAGCTGGCATCCCCAGTACGCTCACATCTCCCGCGTCCCTCGTCTGCAGGACACGAAAGCTACGTGACCTTCTGCCACCTGGAGGATGAGGCTGCCTTCACCTGCAGCGCCGACCACACCATCAGGAGGTGGGACGTGCTGACCGGCCAGTGCCTGCAGGTGTACCGCGGACACACGTCCATCGTGAACAGGTCAGCCTGGCTGGGGTCTTGGGCTGAGTCTCACCATAGGCCCCCAGTGGGGCCGAGGGGTCAGAGATATGGGCCCCTGCCTGGGAGGGCCCTCAGCTCTCTGGGAAAGTCAAAAAATGGACAGCTGAGAGGTGGACCAAGGACAGGCAGTGAGCTCAGTGCCCGAGGCTGCGTGTGGGGTGGGGTGCAGCGCTCATTCACTGAACCAAGCCTGACGCTTCCCCCTTGGGGGTACAGCTGCTACCCCCTGGGTGCAGGGAAAGGCGCCAGAGCCTACGGCTTGTAAGGATGGGGACAAAACCCATAGGAAATGATTTAATTGAGACCTGATGGTGGACCAAAGGTTCTAAGGAGGAGGAGCGTGGGGATTCTTCTGAAGATGGAGTTGAGGATATTTTTAAACCTCTCCTTTTTTGTGGCAATGGAAAATATCCCACCCTCTCCTCAAGAAGGCTGGAGTGGTTCCTTTCTCATTGAATTTGGGTCTGAGCTGAGCAATGGAAATTCCTCTGCTGATCAGATCAGTTGGACACTGTTGGAGTCACTTGTCGTGGTCGCCTGGGACTCCTGAGGGAAGCCTCCTGGTGCCCCCCAGGTCTGGCAGCCACACTGGAGGAGGGGCACTGCCTGGAGGTTGACCCAAGTAAGGACAGGACCCGTGCAGGCTGGCACTGGGGGGGCGTCCTGAAGGTGGGGCTGGGGGCGCAGAACAGACAGGATTAACCCCGTCAGAGGGACACTGCTGTGTGAGCCCTGACTGGAACCTCCAGTCAGTGAACCAGTGCATGGGGTGGGGGACGAGAAGGGCACTGAGACCCATCAGTCCAGCTTGCTGGAGTCCCAGGTGGCTGCAGCCACAAGCGGTAGTCGGTAGCTGGCGGGGAGCTGGGTGACACCCTGAAGCGGAGGCTGAAGGGATGTGGGGACATATCAGAGTGAAGGGGCAGGTATGCAGGCACCAGGTAGGGTGCCCGGCCCGCCCGGCCTTCCTTGGCTGAAGCAAGTGAGGCCCTGAGACCGGCCCAGGCAGCCCACAGGTGGTAAAGAAGGTAATAGGGTGAGAACTCAGGGCTCCCGGCTCCACTGCCTCTTCCCAGCACTCTGACTTCCCTGAGAAAGAAGTTTGCTGCGGAAGAAGAGAGTGGGGCTGGGGAGCGTCCTCCTGTGGGTCAGGAAGAGGCTGCGGTGGGCTCAGTGGGGAGAAGGCCGGCCCCAGCGACCAGCGGGCCCTCGGCTGCCAAACACAACTGTCAGCTGCTTCTCCAGAGCAAAACTGGACCATTACAGGTAGAGATCATGCTCGGCCAGGTCTTCCCTCTTATGTGCACACACGACTTACACGTACACACATGCGCATACCCAACAGACTGTACCTCCATGCACACAACTTACACATACACACGTGCACACACAACAGACTATACATCCATGCACACAACTTACACATACACACGTGTACACACACAACAGACTATACATCCATGCATACAACTTACACATACACACGTGTACACACACAACAGACTATACACCCATGCACACAACTTACACATACACATGTGCACACACACACAACAGACTATACACCCATGCACACAACTTACACATACACATGTGCACACACAAACAACAGACTATACACCCATGCACACAACTTACACATACACACATGCACACACAACAGACTATACACCCATGCACACAACTTACACATACACACGTGCACACACACACAACAGACTATACATCCATGCACACAACTTACACATACACACGTGCACACACACACACAACAGACTATACATCCATGCACACAATTTACACATACACACATAACACACACACACATATGCACACACACACAGCTTACACATACCTGCACACACACCATGCACACATGCACAGCATACACATGCATACATGCACACACAACACATACATATACGCATGCACACAGCATACATGCACACACCTTACACATACCTACACACACAGCATGCACACACAGGTATAACATACACATACATACATGTACACACAACACATACATGCATATACATACGGCACAGACACACAACTTAAACAAGTACACATACACATATGCACACAAAGTACATGCATGTATGCATTGCACACATACACAACACACATATACACATGCACACATGCACACATGTGCACACAACATATACAAACTTACAGTATTCTGGATTGGTCATGGTTCTAAACCCATAGCTCTGTGTAGATATTTGCATGATTAAGTAACTGTCCTCATAAATCAGCGAGGTCCCCGAGGAACTCACTTCCTCTCGTGTTTCCAGAGCCAAGTCAGGCCTGTGAGTTTCGGGGTCACCAATGGACTCAGCCACCCCCGCCCCATTCCCCAAGGCCTCCTACCACCCCCTTCCTTCTGCACTACGCCGCAGCAGCAACGCATCACTGCCTTCAGAAATACACGTTTTGTGAAAATCATCCTATCTGCGTCTCAGGGAGGAAGCAGGCGGGAAGGGACAGTTGGTGTCTGAGTGCAGTCTGTGTTGTTGAGTGCTTGCGGGAAGTGAGGAATGCCTCTGGGACCCTGCGGAGGCGGGAGGCAGCAGGCGTGTCCCCCGAGTGGGTCTCCTGTCCACACCAGGCTGGCTGGCAAGCCCTTCTTGGGAGGGTGGGAGGAGCAGTGGGGCCCTCCGTGGTCCTGGTTCAGAAGGGTCCCACCCTGGCAGGGAGGCACCTTGTTATAGGGCAGATACACTCCCATCCCTCGGTGGCCTCCTCTCCTGGGATGAGGGCTTCTTACCAAGGGTGTGCACACAAACCCTGTGAGGTTCTGTGCAAAGCTCTATACTAAAGACAAATGTGTGTTTTTCTGGGGAGAAGTTCTTGGCTTTCAACAAAATGAATACTGCGCAGGGGCCTAGGTCTCCCATGGCCAGTCAGTTCCACTGAATGGACGTACTCTTTGGACTACACCACCCCCAGTTCCAGCCATGTGGCTGGACCCCTGTTGCGGCTGTGACCTCAGCCTGCAGGGGGATTGCCGTGACGGTTGACAGCAGAGTCCCCGCTGGCTGCAGTGCGATCCCTGGCCGTGCCTTCCACAAGCACCCCTGGGCACACTATGGGAGTTCCGTGTTCTCCAGCCTCTCAGGGCCCTCATCTGAAGGCCCCAGCCCAGCCACTTGAGTCGGCCCTGTTCCCCGGGTGACCAGCACGTCCCACTCTGCCCTGGACTTTCTCAGTCTTACGCTGAAAACCCTGCATCCCCAGAATCCTTTCAACTCTGGGCAAGCTGGGAGGGCTGCCCTCCCCCATCTCCTCCCCTATCTCCTCCCCCTCCTCCCCCCTTCCTCCCTCTTCCCGCTGCTCCTGGAGAGCTGCTGTGGGATGTTGGAGGGACCCCCAGTGAGGGACCTACGCTTGGTTTCTGCTGCAGTTACAGGCCCAGGGGCAGGCAGAGAGGGGTGGGCGTGAGGGGATTCCGGGTGGCTTCCTGGAGGTGGGAGCGATTTCAGCTGGACCTTGGAAGGTGAATGTGGCAAGCTGGGCAGACACAGGGAGAGGTTGTTTTAGCCGCAGTGTGGAGCATGGCCCATTGGGAGGCTGTGTGGATTCTGGAACCTGTGCCTTTTGACCCTGACCCCTTCCCTCTTGCCCCCAGGATCCTGGTTGCCAACAACCAGCTCTTCAGCAGCTCCTATGACCGGACTGCTCGGGTCTGGAGTGTGGACGAGGGGCAGATGTGCCGGGAGTTCCGGGGCCACCGCAACTGTGTGCTGACTGTAGCCTACTCTGCCCCGTGGGACCTCCCCGGCGCTCCCTGCATGGAAGAGGCTGTGGCCGGGGGGCTCCTGGTGACCGGCAGCACAGACGGCACAGCCAAGGTGTGGCAGGTGGCCAGCGGCTGCTGCCACCAGACACTGCGGGGCCACACGGGCGCGGTGCTATGCCTGGTGCTAGACACACCCGGCCACACGGCCTTCACGGGCAGCACTGATGCCACCATCCGCGCCTGGGACATCCTGAGTGGGGAGCAGCTGCGGGTGTTCCGGGAGCACCAGGGCTCTGTCATATGTCTGGAGGTGAGACTGTCCTGGTACCCACCTAGCTGCCAGGGGAGCCCAGTCGCCCCCTGCACGCCGCCCTGTCCCCGGTAATAACGAAGCACTGCAGGTGGCGGCCTGGCCTGTACCACAGAGGCCTCGAGGTCCTGGGGCTGGGAGTCGAAGATACAGGGTCTGCAGGGCTGGTTTCTGGGGAGGCCTCGCCGTGGCTTGCAGATGCTGCCTTCTCCCTGTCCTCACATGTGTGTGTGTCCTATCTCTTCTTAGGACACCAGTCATACTGGATTAGGGCCCCCCATGAACTCATTTTAACCCAGCTGCCTCTTTAAAGACCCTCTTTGAAAAAGGCCACCTTCATAGGGATGGCTTCGGGGTGGGGCTACAACATGCGACTATGGGGCGGGCAGGACACAGCCCATCACACTCAGCTTCTGGACCTGCACACTGGGTGGGGCTGGGGCTGGGGCACACCCTGCCTGGAGCAGGTGTCGACTGTTTTCCTGGTTTGTCTCTGTGTGGTCAGGCTGAACACCTGCAGCCTCCCAGGTTCGTCCTCATGGCCTGGGGATGGGAAGTGGGCCCCATCATGCTATAAGCCGACATCCAGGGTAGACGAGGCACATGGCCCTGTAGTGGTGTGGCCCACTGGGACATGGGTTGCTGCCCCGGCCCCGTTGCCTCCCCTGGGCAAGCCACCTGGCCTCTGTGTGCCTCAGTTTCCTCACATGTGCAGGGAGGATTACACCCCTCCTTAATTCCTAAATCCAAAGAGTTTCAGAAAATGAGAAGTTTTTTTCTCAAGCTTGGCACGAAAACTCTTGGTGGCAGAATCTGGCCTGAAGAGACGTGTGACTGTGTGCTTCAGTCAGCCCAGCGTCTGGGGGTCCCCACGCCTCTACTGCAGATGCAGGAGTGCAGTATCTTTCCGATACAGGAGTCTCGGAAAGCCAAAAACTCCCAAAACACATGGTCCCGAGATTTTGAATTATTAGGGATTACGGTGTGAAGCTGCCCCGTCCGTGGGCTTGTGGTGAGGATTTGGTGAATCAATGGAAGACCCGTGATCAGTGCTGGCAGGCAGCCTTTAGCTGCCTCGACCGTGACTGTCCCTGCTGCTGTCGCTGTGAAGGGACTAACAGTGTGCCTGGCTGGAGGACCTGTTGGGTGTGATCTCCCACACTGGGCAGTGGCCAGCCTCTGCCCTGCTCCAGGGCAGGTCCGACCCCCGAGGTGAGTGGTTGGGGTGCGAAGCTGCCAGCATCCGATGCTCAGCGAAGCTGCAGCAGAAGTAAGGGGCAGGCTCCGAGCAATGGGGCTGGAGTCGGGGGCAGCCCGGGACAGGCATCACTGTGCTCAGCCCCACGGGAGAGCCAGGTCAGGGGCTCCGTGTGGGGTTCTGGGGACAAGGGCGACCCTGGGGCTCCAAGACCAGGGAACAGGGAAGGGTTCGCTTTCTTGTGGAGGGAGGGACCTCTGGCCCCTCGTGAGCCTGGGTCACCCGGGTCCCTGAGATGCTGGGTGGGGCATGTAAACCCCACTTTTCTAACTCAGGTCCCACCTGAGGACATTGGGACAAGACCTTGAGGACGTTGGGACATTGGGACAGGTGGACAAAGAGAAGCAAATCGGCAAATGCAGCGAGCTGAGGGGCTTGGGAAGGCAGCTCATCATGGGGAAGGGGTGCAGCAGCCCGGACCCATCTCACCTTTCCTTGCCCCCAGCTCCATCTCTGGTGAGAAGAATGTTTCTGGGTCTTTATCTCCTGCTTTCAGGAAAGAGGAAGGTCAGGGTGCACCGCTCGCATCTGTTTTGCACGTGCCTTTAACTCAGCGTCATCCTTCTGCTGAAGGGGCGTGTTTTGGGCAGGCTCACTCCACCACTCTTCACATTTCCTGGCCCTCTGTGTCTGTCCTTGTCAGATGCTGGTGGTGATAACAGCTCTTCTAGTCTCCCAAGGTTCCCATGAGAATCGGTGCTAGTGGCCTGGGACTCGTGAAGAGCTGGGGGCATCCGAGGCCTCTTTCCTTCCGGGAGTTCTGTGGCGAGCAGTGTGGAGTGAGACTCCCCACCTGGCTCATGTCTGTGCTCTGAGCTTGCCGGGGCAGGGGGCTGGGAGGGGAGGGGTCAGGGGCTGGGGGGCAGGCCTGTCCCAGATAGAGCTGGCGACTCGCCCTCATGTCACTCAGGTAAGGGAGGAACCAGCGCAGGCATAGAAAGGCCGCTGGCCAGGCGGGGACGTGGAGGCAGGTGCTGGGCGGGCAGGGGAGAAAGGCAGCACTGCCCTCCCAGGTGACAGCTGCATCTCCCCAGGGGTGGTGGGATTCCCCATGTTCCCTCCCCGGGGTATTCTGTAGGATCTCAGTGCTGTCCTTCCTGGAGAGTGAGAGCCTAGGGTGTCCTGGAAGAGTCAGGAAGGCTGAAGGACAGAGTGCAGGGGACAGCTCCCACCCCACACACCCATGTGCACACACAGGCATAGGCGCGCACACACCACATGCACATGCATGATACGTGCATGTGAACGCACACCCCTGGCACATGTGCACACCCCCCAAGCACACATGTACTCACCAAACACACATGCACACACGTGTGTGAACACACCGCACAGACACTAGCCATGCGCGTCCACACATGCCCACAAACACACCACGCGGGCACACATGCTGAAGAGGGAACACAGGGCGGTGGCTCTGGCTGTGGGCTGTGCCTTTGTTTTCATTCCCTTTGAAACTTAGCCCCGCAAAGCAAATTGAATGGGAAGAGGAGTGGGGACAGAGGGTGCCATGGGAACAGCCTGGCCCATGTGGCCAGTGGGGCTCAGTCCTAGCAGGAGTGTGGGGTGCAGGGAGCCAGGACTGAGGAATGGGGGCTCTGGAGATGGGCAGGGCTACCATGAGGGGCAAGACCCCCTAGGAATGCGCTGGTCAGAAGGTTGTGGAAGGTGGAGGTGAGCCTCTCGGGACCATTAGTTCTCATAAAGACGGAAGGAAGGTGAGAGAGGGCAGGGAAGGCCCCAGCAGGCGCCTGGGTAGCGGCCCTGCAGTGACGGGAGAGGCGTGCAGGGTGCGCAGCCTGTGACAGGCCTGGGTGGTCCCTGGGCGGCCGGCAGCCCCAGGCCCCAGCTTCTGGTAGCGGCAGGGGTAGAGTTTGCCTCCTCTGTTAGACTCGGCCTCCCAACCTGGGAGCCAGGCCAGCAGGATGAGCAAGTGAATGGGCGGCGCTCCGCAGGGGCTCAGAGGCTACAGGAGGCATGGGCAGGCCCGCTCCCTGGGTGGGGGCTTCAGGGGTCGCATGCTTTCCACATAGGGGTGCTCTCAGGATGGGGGCCTCTGGGGCGGGGTCCGTTTTACCCCTGTAAGGACAAACCCTAAGTTCCAGCATAGGTCCTCCTCAGGGATGAAGGCTCCTGTTGCCTGATGAGGAGTCGTGGTGGGTGGGGGGGGTTAAGGTGTCTGAGAGGCTGGGAGTCCAGGGGGCACACGGAGAGAGGGCCTCTCTGGCCAGCTGCGTGTGGGCAGGAGAGGGGATGTGGCCAGGCCTGGGCGCAGGGGAGCGTCAGGCGGCAGCATAGGCTGGGGCCCCCGGCCAGAGCTGGGGCCTGGGAGATCCGCTCTTGGGGAGCATGTGGCTGGCTTGGGCCTGGCTGTCGGGTCTCAGCTGGGCTGCTCCTTGCCCTGCCCTGAGCATCTGACGGGGCCGGCAGAAGGAAGGCAGCGCTTTTGCAGAAAGAGCAGCTGGCCCTGAAGGCAGCCAAACGTCTGATGGGTTTGGGTCGCTGGTCAGGTAGTCACTAAGGTAACTGCTAAGTGACACCCTGCTTTGCTTGGGAAGGTGTCAGCCTCATGGTACGTGGGAAGCGGGCTGAGGAGGAGGGGCGCCCCTGTGCTTAGAGCTCTAGAGTTTAGATAGATGGTTTAGATCCTTTGCTCCTGTCATTTCCCTAGTTGTTCAGCACCTTCCGACATTTCGGTGCATCTGAGTGTGTTGTAATGTTGTCCATGTTTAAGATTCCCTCTTTCTCCCCATCACACAGTGGGGAAGGCACCTTTTCCCACCCCTCCAGATCTGCCTCTTGAAAAGAACTGTCAGGCCCTGGACCTGGTGTACGGAGAAGCAGAATCCAGTCGGTCCCTCAGCCTCACTAGGACTTCCAGCTCACCCAGCTGCCTGCGGGGGACCACGCGAAGGGATGATCTTGCCTTTTTCTTCCCTTGTATATGGTTTCTTTCACCTGACACCACTCAGAAGACTGGAGTTGCGCAGGGTTAGAAGGCTGCTGTCTTACAAGCGAGGTTCGATTAAGGCAACGGGACATTTCTGACACTGCCCTAAACACGGAGGGTGCTTCCCGACAGAGATTCAGGCGGCCAGGGCGGGCAGGAGGCTGGCCTCATGAGCGGATCCGGAAGCAGGACTTCTGGGTCTGGCGTCCCCTACCCCTCTCTGGTCCCTGCCCCCACAGGTGGCTGTGTCAGTTCTCCCTTCTGCCCTCTCTGTGGTTTCTCTGACCGAGGGCCATCGCCGCCACAGCCTTCATCAGACGGGCTGGAAGTGCGGCTCGCAAATCTGCCTTTCAGAAGGGCCTGATCGGTCCTCTCGGGTCCAGGAAGCACAGGAGAGGTCCCACCGATCAGCTGGGGGCTCCCTTTAAATCATTTCCAGTGTCCACTTGGTGGTGTGAAGCACGTTCACAGTGCTGCGCAAGCATCATACCATGATTTCCAGACTCTTCCATCGACCCAAATCAGAACTCCGCCCCCATTAAACACCAACTCCCTGCTGCCCCTCCATGCCCGGGCACCCACCCTTCTGCTTTCTGTCTCTTATGAATTTGATGACTCTGGGACCTCACAGGAGTGGAGTCAGGCAGGATCTGTCCTATTCTGTCTGGCTTATTTCATGAGCATAAGGCCTTCGGGCCTCACCTGTTTCGTGGCGCGTGGTGGGATTCCCACCTTTTCCGTGGCTGAGAAATGCTCTCTGGTATTTGGATACTACATTTTGCTTATCCATCG